ATATAAAAAAAAAGATATTTTCCACAAAAAAATTTGTCACAGCTCCTAAAATCTTTCCTCCTATTAATGGGAAGAATGATGACAGTCCTGCCTAAGTGAGGAAGCACTGCTTAAAATTAGAGATCCAAGCACTGGAGGCAGTGGGGCTTCCTCCAAAGTGGTCTGTGGAAGAGGACAGCTCTCCTGCCCAGCCTTTCCCAGGCAGTGTTTCACAAACAAACTTCCCAAAGAAAACATGCAGGGCTCTTTGGAGGGGCTATTTCTCTGTATCAGTTCTGGGCTACTAGCTCTCCTGTTGCAAGTCAACCTATCATTCCCACGCCAGCCTCAGAAGCTGAAGAGTACATAAGAGAATGGGCTTCTGCAATCCTCTGCAGGGATTACCTCAGGATTTGGGAAGAAAAAAGTATATCCTGCCCAAGAGCCATCTTTTCCACATAGCTCTGGCTCGAAAAAAAAGGGATATTGTACAAAGGATATGAATTTCACACAAACTCGCCATGACTGTAAAGAAATAAAAAGACATGCTGTCAAAGCAACCCTACCTGCATGAGATGATGGGAGTGAGCAGACTGTGAATGATCATGTCTTGAACCCATTGGGACTTATGTTAGGCTTGGTTTGGGTTATGTCAGGCACCTGTTGAATCTCACAGTTTCTGTGTTTGTGACCTGGTTAGCCAGCTGCTGTGTTGGGGGTGTTCAGCCCCTCTGAGGAGCTGTCTGTTCTCTACCTGTCTGCAGTACAGATGGTGAGAGGCCTCCTTACCTTCCAGCTGCCAGGTCTTGAAGATCTTTCTGATGGCTGAAATGGCTGGTCGGAGATATGTGGTACTTCTCCTTTGGGGAGAAGCTGGGATTTCTTTTCAGAATCTACTTCTTCCATGTTCCTTGAAATAGCACAAACTTCGCTCCTGTGGAGGTGATAAATGGCACACAAGTAACATCTTCTGATTTTGTTTACCTGTCTTTTGGTGCAAAAAAGACAATACTAAGCTTTATGTGTCTGCCAAGGTATGACAGACCCTAACAAAGAGTTGTATGTTCATGATTTTATAACAGGGAGCTCACAATCAGTAACACATAACAAGCAAAATGCAGTAAGCTCTTGTGTACCTCACAGCTGCGAGCTCAACCTCCTGATGGCAGGCAGGAGTTTCAATCTTCACATTTTTCTCTTTCATATTTATCCTTGCATCAAATTTCATTGTAGTGTTGGCACTGAACTCTGCATGAAATTCAAGACCACTCTGAAAGTATTGTGTATTAATCCCCATCATTGCAATCATATGAAAATATGTCCTGAAAGAGTGGAAATAAAAACATGCATAATTACAGATTAATATGCACATATTTAACTTTGAAATGCAAAATTGCATTTTCACGATGTTCTTTTTATTGTAAGAGCCACTACTGATGGATAAAGAGATGTATCATATAACTTGATAAAAAAAAGCTGAAGTGCCACTGGAAAAGGTGAAGGGATTTATCTGATAAACAAAGCCAACATATACCCTCTCACTTCTTTGTCACTGATACATTGCTTGAGGACGATATAATGCCAGAATCTCTACTAGCTTCAGATTGTATCTAGTTGTTCATTAATATTATCACTATTATTATGATAATTATTACTATTATCGTTATTAGTACTGTTGCATTTGCTTTTGCGGATCCAGAAGCATTTCCCTTTACCTCTCAAATCCCCCCAGCTTGTGCCTGGTGGTGATGCGATTCTATGTTGAGCTTGTAAAAACCTGTTCATACGTAAGCAGATCTATCTTCACAGCTTAGTATCTTTAGTCACTGAACAGGTACAAAAGTGAGCATTTTTAGCAAGTGCAGAACAGCGCAGCATCCTGTGGGATACAGTGCACATTGCTACGTTTGCAGGGTTGTAAAGCATCAAGTGATTGTATTGCTGTCTCACAACTTCACTGCTCTGGACTAGCACAGCTGTCCCAAATGTGGGACAAGTGAGACTCCTATATAACAACATGCAATCACATGTCTATTTCAAATACAAACATAAGTTCTTGTGTGCGTGTCTGAAAATACGTCATATTTACTTTGGCTTGATGCCAGCATGAATATCCATATTGGTTTCCAACAACTGTGAAGGTCTAAAATTGTCAGGTAATGGTGGTGACATCTGTATATCCACTGCAAAAGACAGACAGGAATTATATGAACAGAGAAACAATAAATGCTGGAGATACAATGTTTTCAATAAGCATAGTAGTTAACACATGGGCAGTGGTTTTACATTTTGAAATACTTTATGTGATTATTTAAAGATTGCTACTCCAAACCAGAGTTATACAAGTACGTCCCAGGTGAAACATGCTAATTACTTCTCAAACCCTTTGGAGGTAGCTGAACACTAATGTTTCCACATTACAAGAGTATTTTTCAAGATTATAGAGGGATTTAATTTCAGCAGAGGGATTGGACCCACAATTATTGTGGGGAAACTGCTCAGTTTGGCCTCCCAAGCTCACCCTCGGCCGCAGCCCGGGCCAGCGCGGCGCCGCACAGACTGAGCTCCAGCGGCACGCCGACCACCGTGGGGACAATGTGCCGCAGCTCGGCCACCATCGCGGGCAGGGTCCATAGGCCTGAAATGCCTCGCTGGACCTCTTCCACCACTTTTTTCACCACCAGCTGCCAGTTTGATGGTCCAGTTAGATGCTGAAAACAGAGAAATAGGTTAAGTAAGCAGGTAAGAAGAGACAGGGAAGGGAAATTATTCAGCATTACAGACAAAAAAGACAACAGCCTTGTCAGTACCATCATGGTTTGCTGAATGGCATCTTTATCAATGTCAACAAAGGCGATCTCTTGGCCCAATACTTTGACATAAGCGGACACGAGAGGGTCTTCGGGAGGCAGTTCTTTCCATCCCAGGAGCTGTGGTGTTAAGGAGAGATGGGGAGAAAGAAAAGCAGCAGATAATGTTACTTCAAATACAGTAATGTGTTAGCAAAGAGTAGATCCCATCTGAAGGATGCTAACCGTGGTTGCTTAGCCAAAAACTAATAGACATCTTACAGGTCTGAACCTGTAAAATGTCACCTTTCTTATGTAGCAGCGGGGGTTTCCCCATGTAAGGATGAGGTAAGGACTTGGTAATTTCTGCTGCTGTAAGTAGCTGGGTGACACCCAAGGACTCGTGGACAAAAATCTTATTCAAGAATCATTTTTAAAAAGAAGAGCAACCACTTACCGTGTTTTAACATACACTTTAAAACACATGAATTTTGGCTACCATCATCATCATCATCTTTTGTACTGTACATTAAGGGCTGACACTTGTTGAGTGAAAAGGTGGCATCTATTGACAGCATAAGTACAATGTAAGTACATCTTTCCGTGACCAAACAGGATGACTGACTCCTTTCTCACTGAAACATCAAAGGGATGGCTCAGTGGGTGAGTGATGCAACCCTGGCGCTGGAGGGAACTGTGTGCTGCAAACAGATCAGAAGGGTGCATAGAGACATACCTTTTTACCGAGTTCCTTCAGTGTCTTGTATGTATCGTACTCAGCAAAGGGAATATTCTGCTTCCTGATAAGCTTGGTTAGGCTTTGTGACCGGAGAGCTACCTGTAGGAACCAGAGTCAGGTGTCACAGCCCAAGTATAAGAGAGCCCAGGAAAACCTTTGTACCTAGTATTACACTCACTGAGGCTGCTCTAAATGCATAATTTATGAAGCCATTGCACCTATACGGCTATGTCTACCTGGCAGATGACTGCAGGCTATGGCTGCAGATGTTGAGGATGTGCTGAGCCAGCTTTGAATTAGACAACAGGGATAATTTTAGGGCAGCGCAGGGCTCAGCCCAGGCTGCAAAGCTTGCCCAAGAAGCTGAGTAAATGCCTTCATGCTGTTACATGGAGCTTCATGCTGCCCTGGCTGCACTGCTGGCTGAAATTTAATTTCACATGCTATTTCCCTGTACTTATGCAAAACACCCTAGATACCATGTGATTTTGGGTAGGCAGATGAATGTTCTGCTGCGTAAGCTTTCCTATGCTCTCCTAGATTTTCATGCCTGTACTGAATGTGTTCATTGATGAATGTATGTGTCAAGAAGCCCAAATAAAAGAAGAAGCCTAAGTAAAATCATAATCATTATCTAAATTTTCTCTTCCACATCCGCCCTCACAGCCAGAGATGGAGTTAAGCATTACATCACAGTCCAAATGGCTTTTAACAAGTAATACTATCTGTAGCTGGCTTGCATCTAGCTGGCTGTTTTAATGAAATACTTACCTCGATAATATCTGTTGCAGTATTTGCATAATATGCTCTTACTTTTGTGATTATATCAGATGGAAACATGGTGCTGGGACTGTTCATTAGATAGACCCTCCAAATGGCACCAGCCTGATATTCCGCTATCACAGGAATAAAAAGCAGCAGAGATTTTGGTTAGGTTCTCCGAGGTGTCTGGTGCATATAAGCCACTTCAGGTACATGCTGTAGTAGATCACAAGGGGTTCTGCCAGGATTCAGTCCCACAGGTCCTCACATTTGCAACCTCAAGAGGAGAACTTTATTCTCGGGCAGAGTCAACACAACCACTGTGACTGAAGAAGGAGGCCTAAATCCACCTGCAGGCACCGCTTTCCCCAGCAGATACCCAGAGCGTAGTAGAACACCCTCAGGGGATTTTGCATGTTAGGAGGCTCTTGTGCTTCTTCTATTTCAAGAGTGCACTAAACTCACAGCCTGTGATTGGATTTTGGATGAAAATCACAGAACACTGTAGAAGCATTTAGCTATGTAAGCTGAAGCAGTGAACAGGGTACCGGGTACTCACAGGAATAATCGCCGACATGAATGACCTTGCTGTAACGATAGCTCAGCCTGTCAAGTCTGGGGCTCAGTAGTTTAATGGCAATGTTGCAAGCAGCAGATCTGAGTAATAAAGAGTTAAAATCACATGAAGATAGTCGACTGTGACCAAATTCTTCGAAAACTGCAAGAAAAAAATCACCATTTGCTATTAAAAATATACTTCTTCCTCTACTTACAGATTATAGAGCTGTGGGATCCTGCCTACTGCCAAAGCCTTCATGTGTGAATATGTGAAACTGGCTACTTGTAAGCTGGGCTCCGTCAGCAGCGAGCTGGCCATAGCTGTTACAGTTGGAAGAGCAGGCTTTGTTTCGAAGAGGACAACACAGGCCACCATTCGGACGTTAGGAGCAAGTGTGTTGTCCATAAAGACCTGGAGGGAGATCTCCCTTACCTAGAGGAGGAAGGTACAAACTGTGAGTACCTCATAACTTCTCAGTGAGAAGTGGTTCCTAAACCGTGCACGTGTGATCTGCAGTGAGTGGAGAACAAAACCCTAAACAGAGACTTGAGCATGGCACCTGTCACTGAAAATGAAGAAACATTTTGGAAGAAACAGCCATTAGTAATGGGCCCAGTGTTACAGTGACTCCCAGGATATCAGCAAGGACGGGGTGATGTCAGGAATTTGCAATGTGGACAAGAGGAAGACCAGTAACTGAGAAATCTGCCCAGAGTTGCTAACATTACCTGATGGCTTTATTATTCCTGAAACACTAAATCAACCCAAATCATACCCTCTAAGACATTTGTTTAAATAATAATTTCACTTACTTTTGCAGCATCTTTTCTGGCAATTTTCCTCAAGGCCAACACGGCATCAGCATGAATTCTGTTTGGTAATGAAGCTGCAGCCGGGGAAAATGTTGGCAAAAATTTCAGAATGCGTTTGATACTGGCCGGCTCTCCTGCATTGCCAATGGCTTTCAGGGCCAAGGCCATGTCTTTGGCATCACCTTTGCTGGTGGCTTCAGTAGCAAGGTCGTGGAGTGGCTGAAAACAGAGCAGACTGTGTTAATCTTACCAGGTAATGATCTTGTAATAATGCATAAAAATGTGCTTTGCCATAGCAAGCAAAACAAATACTGGTTGCAGAGCCCTGAGTAAAGCTGTTCACATTTTTCTCCCAGGAAGAATCTCACCATCATTATCAGGATGCCTAACGTGGAACATACAAGCAAACTTGTTTTTTTCCTTACACAGTGTTGTAATTGATTTTAAATTGTGCCTGAGCCTGAGCGTAGGAGATAATCATAGGTGGATGCCTGCTCCAGAGAGTCTGTTGCAAGTTCAAGAGCAGCCCCGAGCTGACGCCGGGTTCAGTCGTTCCCCCGGGCACCTCCACCAGCCCTGCCAGCCTGCAGCCCCCAGGGTCTGCAGAGCTGCAGGATTACACTTGCGTATTTTTCACTTCCTATAGCGATAGCAAGTTTACTTAACAGTGTTGCTGTTCTGAGAAGACAAATTACCCTTCTGGTGACTTGGCTTTGTTTCACTCTTTTTTGGAAGATTTAAACACATGTCAAATACCAGCAGGCCATCTCAGTGCTGTGGTCCTTCTGAGTAAGGAGCCAGAGCTGCATGGTCTGAGTGCAATGTCCTGAATATTTTTGACAGTGATATGCAATTATGTAGCAGGGCCTCTTTGGAAGCCCTAACCTATGACATATCTAGAGCTTTGCTTATATTCACATTTTAGCGCCTTTTTAATAGATTTTTTTAAGCACACGCTACCTAATGTACAAGTAGAGAGAAGAATCATAATTATTTTGCTATAATCCTAAAGTTGTCATACCTAAACTCAATTTCAGGTTGTTTACAGAATCCATTATCCCCACGGGCTTCTACCACTTACATTTGAAGTTCTGAACTGTTAAGACCAGATTTTGCAAAGGCATCAGCTTGGTGTTTCATTCTGTCTTTGCAATTTTGCAGGCAATCACAGCTAAGAGTGAGGCGTGTAAACAGCAAGTTACCTAATTGCCAGCATTGTAAGAGCTAAATTAGAGGCATTTAAAAAATTTCTTCACCCTTTATGAATAAGAAATGAGAGTCACCTACCTGAAGAAGTTCATTTGGACAAAGTGAAGTCTGAGCACAGTATTTATTTACCATGCTACCATATCCCAGGTAAACAATTATTCGATGCATTGGTGCTTTCTGGATTTGGGGACAGTTCAGAAAAGTCTGCAGAAGAAAGAAGTAGCAGTCTTTAATGTTTTCTAGTAATTAGAGTTAGTATTTAGTGAAAATTTCATTTGAGAAATAAATAGATAAAATTGCTTTGGATTTTTCCTAAATATTTTCGGCAGTTAAATCAAATGCTAGTCATTCAGTTACAATAAAAGTAAATAGTCTTGCTCCAGTTATACCGTATGTAGTTTAGATTTTGGTTACATGTTATTATTTTCTTGAGTTTGCCTATTTTTAAAAAAAAAAAATTATTTTGACAAAAAGAAATCAATAGCAATTTTCTTGGATTTGTGAGTTTTAACATCAAATATCAAAGCCATTAAAAAATTTTGGCAACAAGTGTTTGGAAACATTTTCTAAAGCATTCCCCATTTTTGTTAATACCTTGCATTTTACAAATTTAGAAGGAAATATGTTGCATCTGTCAATTATAATCCCGTGAATTCACCTTTAAAAAGGAGTGAGAGGGAAATAGAAGAATGATCTGTACTCACTGAGGCAACTTCTAGGGTTTGCTTGTTGGGTATAACGAAATGGAAGGCAAGAGAGAGAGTTGCAGCTGCTTCCCAGATGTTCAGCTTCTCATCATGAATCTTTTGCTTCAGGAATCTGAACGTGTCAGTAGCTCCAGCAGCACAGATGGCGCTCAGGAACCAGTGCCTGCCAGGGAGGGAGCGATTCATTATCCCCGTTGCCCAGTACGCCTCTGATCAGAAATCCCAGCTGAAGGCAATACAGTTACCTTTGGGGGAGGTCGTTGGCAAACTGCACCCACAAAGACTCAATTTGATCAAGGGTCACTATACGAAAAAGCTGGACCATTTGTAAGAACTTGGCTGAAGCTTCTTTAGTGGCTCCTTCCTCATTATTCTGACCTAGTTGCCGTAGTGTTTCTGTTAACTATGGGAAAAAACACAGTTGGAAGGATCCATGTCTAAAATAATTACGTGATGACCCGTTAATCTTATAAATAATGAAAGAGTATGACAAGTAAGCCTCTAATACCTGTAAATCTGGATTTTTAATCCTTATTAGGGGAATTGGCATCTGGAGTAGCTCTCCTGAGAAATGATAACGAAGACTCCCCTGGTTTTGCAGCTGAGTTTTTGGTGCACTGATGGGAGTCCTTTTAATGTCAACCAAAGACAGTTTTTGCCTTCCAGGGAGAGAAAGAAATGCATCAGTAGCCTTTAACTGCATTGTGTGGGGGGGGGACACGTACAGCAGTTGGAGCAGACGGAGGGGTCCCCAGCAGGACCGTTGCATTCACCACAGACGGATCGTGCACTTCTCGGTTTATGCATTGCTCAGGATTACCTGGAAATGTCATAGCACTGGCGAGAGCTTTCATTAGAGTTTGCCAAAGTCTCTGAGTGGTTGGACAAATGTTTCACGTGGCCCAGCAAAACCCCCAAACGGCAGGACACAGGACCTGGCTGGGCATCCCAAGGGATGTACGGTGCCTTGGCCCTTCGCAGCCCACAGGCCAGATGCTTCTTGTTAACTCACAAATCAACACTAAATATGTTTTAGGCATCTCCTCCTGGCTCTGATGATCACAGCCGTGCTAAGGACACGCATGGCGCCTACCTTGCCTCCATGAATGCTGCCCCGTTGGGTTCATTGAAGGGCGAGATCTGGTACACCTGCTCGGACATAGCAGACGTCATCAAGGCCCCGCTGTCATCGTACTTTATCTTGTAAGTGAACATCACCGTGCCCTTAATGTTTCTGACTTTCTAGAAGTGCAAAGAGACCCACTCACAAATACGAACGGGGGGCAGTTGGTGGGGCACAGACGAGCCAAACTCCCTACTAGCATCAGCGGGATGCACGAGTGTTCGGCAGTGGCCGAGGCCTGCGCGCGGCAGCAGGGCTCCGCGCGGCTCCTACCAGGGGGCAGGTGGGGCAGGGGCGGATGTACGCCATTCCCATGTTCTTCACCGCTTTCTCCTGGCAGTCCGTCAGGTCCTTGCTTTTGGAAATGGTGGCACGGTTGTTCTTGCTGTCGTCCTGGATAACGTATCTGGTTTGGCAGATGCCTTCAATCCCAGCCTGTGAGTATTGATTAAACACAATGACCTTTCCACTTGAAACAGCAATAAATAGGTCAAAGAAAATTGCCTGGGAAGTGTATGTACAGACAAGTTACTATATAACAGTAAAATGAGAATAAAAGTAAAATCAGAATGGAAAAAACAAACCTCCTGTAGTTCATACACATTTTGTGACTTTTTGATGGTTATCTGCATCATGTTCAGAATCCCTCTCACTAGATTAGTGCATAGGATGGGACAGTCCTCAGGGGCAAAAATACTTCCAACCCTTCCCCCAGTGTATTCAAACTTAAAGGCTTGGCTGAAACATGCAGCGATGGTCTCTGTGAGCCTCAAAGATGGAGTGAAGGGGTCCGTGGGCCAGAAGCCGTTGTATTCCTCCAGCTTTGGTGATCGAATCTGTGAACAAAATTAGGAAAACGTTCATCCTGTTCATTCAGTTTGAAACAGTGCAATAACAGGGAAACTAGGCACTTCCAGTCCATGGCTGGACACAAGCCACTTGTCCAACACCGCAGGAAATGTTTTCCTCCTTGGACTCTTGTGCTGGGCCTAGGAAGCATCCCTGAAAACGCAATTTCCATGAAGGATTTCTTCCAGAAAAATAAGATCGTGCAAGCAGCATTCAAAACTTCAGCAAGCCTGGTGAAGGTTGCTGGGTGAGTGAAACACCAGCTGCCAGCAGTCTGTACGGAAAGGATACTCGCCCGTTTTCCCCAGATGTCCAGTGAGATCTCCCTTCAGTCTGCAAGGCAGCCAAGCCATTGCTCCAGCTGGCTGCCTAAACACATGGGGACTATTTTGGCTGCTGCTGCAAGTCCAGCACGTCCCAGAGCACCAAAGCCTCGGCACAGCTGATGGGGAGCAGAGATGACCACGGGACCTCGCACGGGAGATGGCCCAGCAGGAGGTGACGTCTCTTTCTTTGGAAGCGGCTGTCATCATTTTGAGCTTATCAAGCTGTAAAGCTTGCACACAAGTCCTTGACTGCTACCTAGTGGGAAATGCGTGCCTGCTCGCACATGCGTATCTAGTCATATACATGCACACCTGCCACCCTTGTACATAAAAGCACACGTTCCTGTGTAGAGGGAAATGGTATCGTTTTAGTGCTCTGTTTCAGTTTAGGCTTTTATAAGCAATGCTGCAAGGGTGGCTTGCCTCTTGTCACGTTTTCTCAAATTAAATCCTACTCAAGACTATCGTCTGCAGTTGCTAAAGTTATAGCAGTTCTAGCAAGGTTACACAGAGCCTGCAATTGCAGCAGTGTGTAAAGTTTGATAATAGGTATTCCTTCATGCTGTTTCATATATGCACAGGATTACCGATTGAGTAAACTCCTAGGATGAACGCTCTTACAGCTTTCTCCCCACGTGGTGTCTTCTAGATCCCTTTTCTGTGGTCTCTCATTCCATGCCAGTATTTTAAGCTGTTTAATTTAATCTTTTCGATGAGTTACAGTGCTTCCAGATCTGATATCATTATGCCAAGCACAAGCATTACCATTAGAATTCTTCACATTTGAATTAATGCCTATGTGAAGAATATCAAAAGGAGGATAATGGAGACAGACGGGAATTTCTCATGTGATACCTGAATTCCAGTGCCGAGCTTTTCTCAGGCTATGGATCAGGTTGAGAAACATGGATGTTTCATGCTTGAATTCTCCTCATTTTCATACTCCAGCTTAGTGTTGCCTTAGTAAAACAGTCATAAGGCCATTTCTTCAAAGCAGCTGCCCGCCCTATCTCTCCATGGAGATGAACCTAAGGCAGCTTTAGTCAAGGGGCCTCAGGTACTGATGGCAGCAGAGCCGGAGCAGCTCTGGCTCCCTCCCGCAGAGGTGCGGGCTGCAAGGAAGCCTGTGGCACTGCCTCTAGGTCACTACCCGTAACCCAAAGCAGTTTGGCTACAGCTGCAGACGCTCCAGCGGTGCCCTCGGCTCTCCCCCGGCACGGGTCGGGGGCACGGGCTGCAAAGCTCAGTGCCCATGCCCGACCTCTGCCCGCGCTGGGGAAATCACCACTGCCTGAGCAAAGCCGCTTGGCCTGACCTTGGGCTTACAGGGTCATCTCAGCACCGGGAAGGGGGCCCTAAGCTTTCGTGTGAGCTTTGCATCTTTTTGTCGTTTATTTTACCAGCCTGGAAGTGTGAACTGAATGTCTGTAGCCACGTGATGAGGACGGGTGGGCGGGCCTCCATGCCCGTGGTGATTTACCTGGAGAAGGTGGTCACTGCGAGACACACAGCTGATCTCCAGCTTGCAGGTCAGCCTCACCCCCGCCATCGCCAGGCCTCTGCTGGGCAGCCCATGCAGGATGAAGCTCTCGTAGCCATAGAGGTAGGTCTTGCCGGTATGAAAAACAGGCTCTATTAAAAAAAAAAAAAACAGAAACAACTCCTTCACTATGACTGTTGTGATGTTACACGCAAGAACCATTCCAGCAAAGAAGGGTGAGGCTGCTACTGCTGAAAAATCGGTGCAAGCCGTGGGCAAGGCACGGCCGAAGGGGAGGGCAGTGTGAGGGCAGTGTGGGAGCCGCTCGCTGGCGGTGGGAGCGCACTTACCGAGGTCCTGCTTCTGACCCCCTGTGTGGGAGGAAAGAGAAAGATGCGTGAGAAACCCCCCCTTCTCTGTGGACACTTTACATTTATTATTCATTTACTCAGTGTGCTAATGGTTGGCAAACAACCAGTAAGGGGCTCCCGGGGTGCACCCCATACCCCGCGGACACTGAGCCTGCACCAGCCCTGCTCACTAGCCGCTGCTTGCTCTGCTTTTCCCCTGCTGCTAAGCTTAGGCACAGAAATCTAATAATCATAAAAGGGCTTCAGGAAATTAAGCTGTAAATATCCCTGAAAGGCCCTG